TCCCTTGTTGACTGGTTTGAGATAGGATCTCCTGGGCCAGGCTGGCCTCGAATTCCCTTGAATTCTTGCCTCCACCTCTCAGGGGCTGGTCCAATCCGCCTGGGTTTATGTAGTACTGGGGACCAAACCCCTGGCTTCATGTATGTTAAGCTAGACAAGAATTCAACCAACTGAGCCACATCTCTAGCCTGGAATGCAGGCAACACTCTAAGACAAGCTGACACACAGACATCTGAGCTTAAACAACAAATACACTGGATGACCAATCAATACACAGCTGCCCATAGGAGATACTCCAGGATCCCCACCTCAGCCAATACTCTCATCTTCAGGTGCCCAAGTCCATTACATAAGATTGCAGAATTATCATAAAATCTATGCATAGCCTCTCATACACTTTAGCCATATCTAGATATGTATAATACCTACTGCAATGTAATTGCTATGGTTGTATTGCTTTACTTAGGGAGTAATGACAGAAGTACACACATGCTGGGAACTGATGTAATCCAAGTCAGTGGGTGTGGAGGAGCTGGGGGCAGAAACACAGAACGCAGTCAGAGATGCCATGACCAATGTTTCCTGGCTAGATGGACATGTGAAGATCACCTGTGGCACTTTAGAAACCACCCACATCTAGGATCCAGACATGGGGTGTCTCTGAAGGAGGCACAAGTGATTGCTTTGTACACCTGCGGTTAAGAACCCCAAATCAACAGCACTCAACTCATTCAGCTTGGAGGTGCACTGAAATTCCCATGCCTGGTCCCTCCCAGGCCAACTGAGTCAGGAACTGAGCAACCCCCCTGTTAAAAGTTCTCTTAGCTGGGTGGTGGTGGTGCGTGCCTTTAATCCCAGCACTTGGGAGGCAGAGGCAAGCAGATCTCTGTGAGTTTGAGGCCAGCCTGGTCTACCAAGTCCAAACAGGGCTCACAGATGACCAAGTGGCACAGCTGAAAGAGACTACTCCTATGGGGAAGGAATGAAGTGGTTCACAGACTAGCCATGACTGATGCCAAGCAGAATGTTTACCTCTCTTGTGCCCCCTCAAGCTCTGGCATCGACACCTGTCTTCACCTAGCATGAGATCCTGGGATGGCACAGTGTGATTGTTAGTGTTAAATGTCAACTTGACAGATCTAGAGTCGTCAGGGAGATGGGCCTCTAGGAATGACTGGGAGGCAGAAGGTATCTTGATTAAATTAATTGATATGGGAAGATGCATCTTAATTGTGGGTAGGACCATTTTGCAGGGCAGGGATCCAAGACTGTGTCAGCGTAGAATGTGAGCCAAGAACTAGCAAGCACACATTCATGGCTCCATGTTACTGACAGTGGAAGCAAAGTGACCAGTTGCCTCAAAAGCCTTGACTTTCCTGCTAGGACAGACAGACTATACTCTGAACTATGAGATAAAATAGACTCTTATGTTGCGGCTGTCAAGAGTATTTCGTGAAAGCAATAGGAAAAGCAACTAAGATCCTGAAGTCTAAGGGGTGGCAGCCCAAGCTGGTCACCTGTATCGCAATTGTACTTTAACTGTGGTTAATGTGCAAACATGTTAGTCAGCAGGATGAGAAAGCAGAGGCTTTTTAACCCTAGGCAGGGTCTGTTCCATAGGAGAAAGTTCACAGAGTTAATCTATGTCCGTTTTCTACCTTGACCTGTCAGAGAAATTCTAACTAGACAGAGATCGGTCGCTGTGAACCTGACAGCCAGCCAGGGATTAGCGGTTAGGGAATGCTAAATGTTTAAAACTTGTGTCATGCTTCCCAGCTCCATAGTACCCAGGAGAAGTTATCTTTTGAAATCTGTAAATACGGAGCTAGAGGTGAGAGAGACAGACCACTCATTTTCTTTTTAGAATCTATGTGCATGGGTGTTTTGCCTGAATGCATGAGAACGGCGGGTGTGGCAAGTACCTGTGGTGGCCTGAAGAGGGCGTTGGATGCCCTGCAACTGGAGGTATAGATAGTTGTGATGCCATGTGGGTGCTGGAAATTGGATGTGGGGCCTCTGTAAGAACAGCCAGTGCTCTTCTGAGCCTCCTTTCCAACTCCAAACTATTCCTTTTTCATCCTTTGATTTTAACTCAAATACACCCGTGGACTTCAGTAGACATATCCGTGAGGCTTGCCCAGTGCAATAGGAGTAGTTTCCTTTCAGGCGGCTGCTCTTCCCAGAATCAGCCGTTTCCTGTCCTCCACAGTTACCACACTTTCAGAAGTTCCTACCCCCCTTTTAAAGGTCATTTTAAAGGTGTTCATACAAATAAAGTTTTTTTTTTTTTTTTTTTTTTTTTTTTTTATACAGTAAAAAGAGTATGGGGGAAGGAATTGGGTATACGGCCCTGTGGATAAATACTTGCTGTGGAAGTCTGAGGACCAGAGTTCAGATCCCCAACCCAGCAGGCTTGTGACCACCTGCAATGCCAGCACACAGAAGGCAGAGACAAGAGTCCCTGAAGTAAGTAGATAAGCCAGAGGAGTCTTATCAGTGACCTCTGGATCAGGGAGAGACTGCCTGGACAAATAAAGAGTAGAGCAATCAAGGAAGACACCTGATAGCACCAACTTCAGGTCTCAGCAAGCTCATGAATACACATTGAGAAGGCTTCATTGAGAATGCCCCTTATAGGCTCCTGTATTTGAATGCTTGGTCCACAGATAGTAGAATTATTGAAAAGGAGTTCTGGCCTTATTGGAGGAGGTGTGTGACTGGGAGTGGGGAAAGCCCATGCCAGCCCTCTCTCTTCGTCACCTGTTTGTGAACCAGATTTAAGCTCTCAGTTACTTCTCCAGCACCATGCCTGCCTGCCTGCTTGCCTCCATGCTCGCCACCATGATGGTCATAGACTAACCCTTTGAAACTATAAGCAAACCCCCATTTAAACACTTTCTTTTATAAATTGCCTTAGGCATGGTGTCTCTTCACAGCAATAGAACAGTAACTCAGCCACACACATGCATCCACACCTACAAAAGTACTTCACACATACTCTTGTCAGATTTGTTTCATTTGCCCTAGAGATGAACCACTGGGAGATAAGTAGCTGGCTTAATTAGTTCATTCCTGAAAACTTGGTGACACATTCCCCCAGAATATGGACTTAGCTGCATAAGCCCGATGGGGCAGGACCACAGTGAGCAAACTAATGTCTCTGTGCACATCTCTATCCGAAACCTTTACAGGTGTTCCCAAGGACCCCTAAATTATATTTATGACTCACATGTTGCCCCTATATTGGTCCTGGACTTGAGTGGTCTTCACTTAACAAGCTAGCCAGTAAAGAAAACAACTTCTGGTTTCTACAATTCTCACGATTTTGTTTGTGTTTCTTTCCCCTAATGGCTCCTGGTGTCCTGTGGTCTCTTTGGGTGATTAGAGAATAGCAGCCATGGCCATGTAGATCAGTGGTTCTCTAAAGACCCTTTCACAGGGTCTTTAGATGCTTAAGACCATCATAGATCCTCAGTACATGCTGCCTCTCCATCCTACCTGAATGCATCTTGGGACCAGCTTGCAGGCAACTCCCTCAGAAGAGAGGGACATGGAGAGCAATTACTTTTGTTTCAGACTTTTCGTTCTCATGCGATTGGCAGTAACAGTGGTGCTGATGTTGATGGTGGAAAAACACACCTGGGTTTCAGACGCTTGCTTTGAAACGAATAGCTAGTGAGAAATGTAGGACCATAGTTCTATTTTAATGAGGTGTCCACGATGTGTCTTGTATGACTGGGGAGTGGTCTGGCCCCTTCATTGTATTTCCTATAATCTGTAACATTAAACATTATGTGGGGGTCCCCTAAGGCACCAAGAACAACATCAATGTATATAAAATGCACCTCTAACTGGGAACATGAAAACAGCAGGATGAGACTAAGTTCCTCAGAAAACCACTACTAACAACTGGCAACAACGGGCTCCCAAGAGCCTAGGTTTAGGTTTATTACTGAGACAAGGGTTCTCTCTTGAACTTACACCCACCTAAAACCCATGACATATGCTGCACCTATAATCATTTTACAAAGGTTATTTTTCTTTACTGTCTGACACTATCTGCCTCTGTATTTCCCTCTGTAAGGCCAGCTTATTGAGAATGTTTTAGATAGCGTAATGTAACATTCACTGAGGCTTATTGAGAAGTGCAATGCACATCTGTGGGCCTGACATCAGCACCTCCGGACATGTGGGAGTTCCAAAGGCTGACAACCTAACGCTGAACTCTAGCTTGGGCGTGCGTGACTGTCATTCATCACCTTGTGCAATGAGTAGGTGTGGCATAATTTCACCAATGATTCACAGTGTTCAAATATCACAAGCCACCTTTAAGCTGGTTTATAGTCCGTGCAGACTCATGCATCACTGGGTGTCCTTACTGTGAACATTTAAAGCCAGGCATGGTGTGTATCTGTCTATTTTTCTAGAACAATCCATTCTCAGTCCACATGCAGCAGGACTGTGTGCCTCGGCCTCAAATCATACGCTATCTAATCAACCATAAGCACCAGAAAGAAACTGCGAGAACAATGAATGAATCCAGCAGAGTTTCTGGGAAAACGGAAAATACCACTTTGCCTTGGGAAACCCTGAAAAGAACAAATCAAAAGCACGTCCCATCTAATCTATGACTGCTGGTTAGGCACACGTCTCATCACTTTCAATGGGCACACTCACTTCACTCAGAAAATATTCACGTGAATAATGTCAGCAAATTGAGCAGCAAATACATTTGACCTAGACACAAGAAAGGTATAGGTGCCTTTTGTAGGGTGCCCCATGTTCCCCTCTGTGGGATATGGGGGAAGGGGGGGTTGCTTGCAAAAAGAGAGACATTTCTGATTATGATATAGTTGATGGCTAGTAACCTCAAATTTACAAATACAAGATCAAATACGCATATGTACATGTGTCTGCTATTGTTGTTAAGAGACCAAGAGCTTGCTGAACACACAAGGCGTGTGACCGAAGGCTGAACAAAGGACAACGAGAATGCATACCTGCTCTTTTGATGGCACCAGAAGTTCCTCAATCATCATGCTGTCCCGAGCGTAGGAGCTTCTGTTCAAGGTGTATGACCTATCCGAACTGAAGGAGCGGAGGCTGTTGTGTTTACAGTTACCCATTCAACAGTGGGAGATGACGATGGGATGGGATGAAAGAAAATAAATGCATGCAACTTTTAAGAACAGGCAAGATGGCTAAAAATACCAACAAATGTGCTTTTTTAAAATTAAGATACCAAAAATTAGACTCTTTTAGATGTACTCAATTTCATGACTGAGATTTTTAAATTTGGCCAATTTCGGGTCAGTTCTGTGAGATGAAACTCACAGTGACTTTCAGTACTCCTCTATGGCACTAAACCAGCATGACATTGAAAACAACCTCTACCTGGTAACATGAGTGTTTCTTTTCTTTTTTCAAAACTTAATATTTACTTACTAACTTATTTACCTAATGTGCATTGGTGTTTCGCCTACATGTATGTTTGTATGAGGGTGTTGGATCCCTTGGAACTAGCATTACAGACATTTGTGAGCTGCCATGTGGGTGCTGGGATTGAACATGGGTCCTCTGGAAGGGCAGCCGGACTCTTAACCACTGAGCCACCTCTCCAGCTCCAGCACAAGTGTAAGAGGAAGACTTTCAGTCCAATTGCGCTCCCTCTCACACTTAGATCTCTGTCTGCTACAGTGGGGTCTGCAGGCGAATTGTTGGAAACCAGCTACGGGTTTACATACTAAGAGCTCTGGTTTGGAGCTGTCACTCAAGGACATTTTTCAAGAAGGAAAATAGAAACATAGCCACATGCACTTCTTGGTTGTGTTCCAGGACCATTCCCTGTCTTCAATCCCTGTTGTTCCTTGGCTCTACTTTTTTCTTCTTTATTCTTGTTAACTTGCATCCTCTTCCAGACACTCCCATAGACAAACCCTGAATTTTCCAGGTTCCCCCAGACTCTGCCTACACTGACTCTTACACTTAAGGGACTGTGGGAGGATTGTTCTAAAAGGCTACCTCTGTTAAGACTGCATCTATCCACACAAGTCATGTGATATCCAGGGTTGTCATTAATCTGAGTCTTGGGTTAATGGCTTTATTATGATCCTCTGGGGACAAGGATGGTGGCTGTGAAGAACAGCTCCAGTGTCAATTCCCCTCTGTGTTCCTTAACTGGCAGTCTGTCAGAAAAGAATGTTCTGTTGTCACCTCTTTGTGAGAAGGTTTCCTATCTGACCGTTCATGAAGCATGGTTATAGGATGAGAAAGGGCTGGGGTGAAGTCTAGACATGATTCCCCAGCCATGAAATATCTCCAGCTGGCATTAAACACACTGACCCCTTTATCTTGTGCTCCTCATGGGTGTGGGGAACCCTCATCCCTACCACGGGATGTTAGGGTTTTTTTTTTTTAAATTTTGCCCATTTAACTGATTAAGTGGGTATAAGTAGGACTTATGCCTATTTAACTGATAAAGCGGGTAAAAGTTGGTATTGCCACCAGTTGAATTGGTCAGATTGTGGCACTGTCTTCACAGTGTGTGTGTGTGTGTGTGTGTGTGTGTGTGTGTGTGTGTTCGTGCACATGTGTGCACACACTCGTGTGTAGAGATATTAGCTGCTATTACACACATTATTCACAGAATGGGGGGAGGGTTGTTCTTTCAGGACTGGAGTCTCAGCATTTTCCGAATCTCCTGCTCATCGCTCTGACTCAGAACTAACCTTCATTTCCAAGGTCACTATCAAACATACTCAGCAAATATTTATTGAGTGTGACGAGCATGATCCAGACACATAGGTGCCTCCCAGTGAGCCATAGGGCTGCATAGTCAGGCAGTCATGTGACCATAAGGTTTCCTTTCTCCTCCTCGTTTCAGCTGAGTTTCTTCCCTTACTCTTCTTTCTATGCCCTTAGCTCCTCTCTGGCACAGCAGAAGTGCCCTTCCCATGAGTGCTTTCCTTCAGTACTGTGTAATTGAGTCCAAGAATGGTAACAGGCTGGAGCAGAATCAGTGGCTCCCAGCCACTTGGGCTGGCTTCGGCTATCACAGCTGAAGAACAGGTCTTTAAATTGTACCACACTTGAATTGAAAGACCCACAGGTAACAGGTGGCTCCACTATCTGCTAGTGTCTTTTCAGGACACATGGCTTCACCGACACTATTTGAGGAGCCCTGGGAGGTTCTGCTCCTTACCCTTTTCTACACCACACATTTCTTCAGACCAGGGATAGCACTCCAGGATATAACTGGACTGCATATAGGCAAACATTGAAAAAGTCTACATATCCATGATCCTTTAGGTTTTCAAATCTAAGACCTGTGGATCCTCCTCTGGCATCGTCTCCTTTTTTGTCTGTGAGTGACAGCTGCAGAGCAGAGCTCAGACCTGACACAAGCCACGGAAATGCTTCAAGCTGTGGTTCCTGAGGATCGTTTCAGACCAGACCAGCTTCCTTCCATCAGGCGGCCAAACCCAGGAAATCTACCAAGCATCACTCCAACTCTCTAATTCATCATCAGGACCAGAGAGTGTTGAGTATCTACCCAAAGGAGTCCAGAAAGCCTTGAGTTGTTTTTTAAACTAAGGCCAGAGAGATTATTTGTAGCCACCGTTGAAACCTAAGTGTTAGATGCGGGGCCTGTTAGGAAAACATGCTTCCTTATGATGAAATGTTACTTGGGTGTCTAAGATAGCTCAAACAAACAGCCGCCAGCAAACAAATCAGACTATTTTCTTTAGATCCAAAAAGAAAACCTTTTCAGTTCCTTCATGCACTCCACAAAATTTGTTAAGAGAGAGGAATTCCTTAAGTGTCCATTTACTATAGTTAAGATTTCTTTTCATAGATTTTTTTCTTTCCCAATCATAACTGATTTCCTAAAGCTGAGCAAGAAAATGAAAAAATAAAAATTTAAAAAGCACATTGCAGGCCAGCATAGCACAGCACAGCACAAATGCCGAAGAAAATAAAAATGGGAACACGGGTCAGGGACAGGCAGAGTAACACCACAAAAGCGCCACATCTTCTTACCTTATCTTGGGACTATTTTAAAGTATTTTTAGGAAAAAAATAAAACCAGGAGAAACAATGTAAATGAAAAAAAAAAAACAGACAGGGGAAAAAAAAAGAAAACACAAATGTTATGGTTGAATGAAATCATACATTGAATGTCCCTTTTAAATGTTACACTCAGAATAACTGACTTGATAATACTCTAATGATACACTGTAGAAACATTAAGATATTAATGATTTAAAAATAGAGCTATAAAAATATGCTTTAAGAAATATTTGCCTCTGAGCATAACATGAGTCACCAGTATGAAAAAATGACTTACATATAACAGTAACAGATAGTGGCATAGTCCAAATCGGGGACAAGAAATCCTTAAAGTTATCTCAAGACCAAAAAAAAAAAAAAAAAGAAAAGAAAAAGAAAAAGAAAAAAGAAAAAAATCACGATACTTAGATTTCATAGCTCAATGGAAAGATTGGCTAGAATTTTCTGCAAAGTATGTATTCATAAATGTGAGGAAGGAGAGAGCAGCTCACTGTAGGAGTAGAAATGGAACTCTACTCCTACAAAACCAAGAGACAAAAACCAAGACCCTTTAAGGGCCCAGACATTTTAGTTTTAACTTCTTAGAATCTGTGATTGAAATACTGTCCATCTGTGCATTTTTAAAGTCTCTCTCTCTCTCTCTCTCTCTCTCTCTCTCATTGCTGACACCTGTTCCTATCAGGTTTGCAAGCCTTTAGGGACTGTGTTTATAAGGAGAAACGTTTACCAAGTTAGCTGAGGCTCTATTTTTAAAAGGCAAGCTCAAGAAAAGGCAATGCAGTTTCTAAACTGTTCTCACCAACTGCACTGGGAACAAACCCCAAGGTTTACTCTGTGGGAAGTGTCATTTACTATTAGACAATGAAACTTTTTACAGCGGATTCCTAAACTATAGGAAAATGTCCTCGGGGCTCTCGCTTAGAAGGTTTAATTATTAGCTTTAAAATAACTTGACAGTCAGCAAACATGCCACTGAACCACACCAGGGAAAAAGAATTCCCAGCCTTCTGGACAAGGTCCTTTTTCCTTCACACACTGAGTGGCTTGGGAGGCAAGGCTTCCCCGCTTCAGCTGTAAGGACTGAATTAGCCCCATTGCCATCTTGATAAGTCACTGTTACACTCCTAAGAGGCCCCTTGACCAGCACACTAGTGGCAAAAGCTCAACTGCCTATGCATGCAGACAGTTTTAATAGTTTGTTTTTATCATCAAGGGTGCTGCTGATCAACCACGAATTACTTTTTCATTAATAAAGTATAGCAAATAATCCATACACAGTCTTCTTACATATCCGTAACTAGAAGTTTCTTTCAGTATGGAGCAAACTACTTTTGAAACATGACACCTAGACTGGTTTTCCCATTTATCAGGGAGCTCATCTGGTAATATGCTGGAAATTGGACTGCAAAGTGCAAGGAGAGAACAAACAATCGATGTGTTCTGTCACATGAGACTAAGCACAGCAAACAACAAGGAAATAGCAGAGCATGTATGTTTGCATCGAGAACATTCCACGAAATTCAGATTGCATCCAAAGAGCATGTTCTGGAATCATGAGGGAGATGGAAACGATGCTGGCTTGTGACAGATCATGGTTGTTGCAAGTGAACTCTGGGGGCGGGGAGCAATAACAAAGTACCTGGCAGAACGGGCTCCGAGACTGAAGCCCACATAACCCTCCGCTGGCAGGGAGTCATCGCCCAGTTCCTTAAGGTCCTGTGGCCCGAGATACTTGTCAGTGTCCCCTGTGATGGCATCTTCACCTACAGATGGAGAGCAAGTCACAGTCAGAAGCCCACCCTCTTGACTATGTAGCAATTATGGAGAAAACTGCTCTCATTATCTCATCACCTTCCCTGGTGCCCCTGTAGGGTTTTGTTTTGTTTCAATGTCATCCAGAGAGAAAGAGAGGAAGAAGAGGTTAGTTCACCATTACAGGGGCCAATTGAAGGAGCAAACCTGGCTAGTGTTAATGATCAATGGTAAGCATGACCCCTGCCACTTCCCTGCCCCCCCCCCCCCCCCCCCCCCCCCCCAAAACATGGTTTTCCTCATACCACCCATGATGAGAGCAGCTTGTTTGAATGGACACAGCTTGCAAAATAAGGCCCGTGTCTCTAATATTGTCCTTTAAAAAAGGAGAGAAGGAAATGGCTTTATTTAGTGATTTATTTATTTACTTATGTGTATTGGTGTACACATACCACAATGCACCTGTGGAGTAGTTCAGAGGACAACCTATGGAGTTCTTTGCTTCCACTATGTGGGTTCCGGGATCAAACTCAGCTGGGCTTGGCAAGCGCTTTTTACCAGCTGAGTTAGCTCACCTGCCCAGGAAAGAGATGCTGTTGAAACCAGTTTCCTCTCAGGATTTTGGTTTGGGGCATATGTACCCTGAGTTTTGTGAGTTCATGGTGGGAGCTGTAACTGCTTGCCTGGGAGACCTTGAAGAACATTAGTTTTGAACTGTTTCTAAACCCATCAGATTAAAGAGTCAGCTGTTCCCACCACTTGAAGTCTACTTGCAAAGCAACTCTGCCTCCTACAGAGGTAAAGTGCAGGTTCACTGGAGCCGGAAAGGGGGACCATAGGTAAGGCACTCTGACTAGCCTCACAAAGAGTTAATGCATGCAAACTGCTCTTACAAGCTCTGTATGCCTAGTGAGCTCACGCGGAAAACCACATTCCAAGAGCAACAGGGCAGGTTTTTCAATCATCTACTGCCCTCTGGGCTGTTTCCCATCCCTCCCAAAGTATAGCACTGCCAGCAGAAAGTTCCCTCTACACGGGTAAACCTGGTCTCTTTCTAAAATTACTTTTCTTCCCTTTCTAGATGCAAGCTGGCTGGCCCAAAGAGATTCCAAATGTGTATAAGAGAGGTTTTCTCAAAGGTAGGCGACTCACAGCCTCACTCAGTACTGCTTACAATTTCCATTCATTTCAGCCACAGGAGCTCAACTTTTTAGCAACCAATCAGGTCTTCAAATACACCGTACTCCGGCAACTACGGGATTTTTTTTTTCTTTTTACAAATGTGAAAACTAAACAGATCGTCTTTCTGCTGCTACTCAATGCCATACTACTTTAAGTATTCGCAGAGGGATATTTGCAATATTTCTCTGTCAGAAACAAAACTAGCACACGCCAAGTGGGAATGAAAGAAAAATCTTACTGTGTGGCAAAGCCATTTCCACCACGCTGGGCTGAGGAGTACTTTCCTGAGGCTTCCAGGAATTCCTTAAGCAGAAGTTGATAGTGAGCCGTGCACACCAGCCCCAATCCACAAACCCTTCCCTGGTCAGATACGTCTTCACCAGGGCCGCGGAGCTTCCCTCAGTATCTCCGTCTCCTCGAAGGCGACTGAGCAACCTTACATCTTTCCTCACTTTTTAGACTCCAAAGATTAAAAAAAAAATCTCCGACAGAAACATTCAAAAAATTTCATGTGGCAACACTTAAGAGCGACGTACATCCTTCTGATCACTCCGCAGACATCCTTTCAAAGTGCCTTCTGATTGGATTAAGAACGCTCTGGCAAGCCTCTTGCAGGACCCAATAGTGACATAAATGTGAGCCCAGGAGTTATTTGTATGTAAATATGAGGACTGCCTGGGTGTAGACTTTCTGTAACTTGATACCAGTGCGGGCCGGAGTGACTGGGACCCTTAGAAGAGGTTGAGCAAGCCCAGGGCACTTGGTGCAGTTGGGAGCCTGGGAGACGGCTTTCCTCAAATATAAATGAAGGAACAGCCAAGCCAGGTAGAGGAAAAACAAACACTAGGAGAAAACAAAGAATGGGCCTGAGCAGGAGTGGCTGGGAGCTGCAGGCAAACTTTCAACTTTGTTCTCAGCTGGGAACACGGGAGCCTCTGTTATTTATGGTCCCTGTCAGGTGGAAGGAGGGCAGGAAAGAAGGGAGGGCCTGCCCTCTGGGTGGAGGTTGGGAAACTGCCGGGCCAGGGAAGCAGCTGTGACACCAGAGTTCCCGGGAACGCCACAGATCAAACACACAGACACAGATCAATGGGGCAGCACCCGGAGAGAGAATGGGAAAGAAAAGGGGACCAGGGGCAAGCAGTCAGGCTGGGGAAGCCACTGGTATTCTGTGTGAGTGGAGGCAAGGTTCTTGGTAGTTCTTAAATAGGCCCAGAGGGTCTTTATTCACTGGTTCTCAGGAGAGCAGGCTGATGGTGGCTGGAGAAGTCTATGCCCCAGGAGAAGAAAACTGGGCCAAAGAGGTGACCCTGCCACCTTCCCAAGAAGACATCTCTCCTCTGAAATGTGGGGGTCTCTCTCCTAGGGAAAGTGGCCTGTTAATGTGGGCAGTGGGGAGAAGGTAGCCAGACCTCTGCGGGTTCCACTGGGGTACCCCCAGACAGTTTCAATTGCATCCCCTAACATACACCCCAAAATATCTGGGTACTCAGTCTAGGTGAAACCTAAGTCAACTGTGCCTAGCATGTCTTTATTTATTTAAGGTTTATTTTTTGAGAATTTTATATGTGTGTATAATGCAACATGATCACATCCACCCTTTCCCTATTTCCCTATTCCAGCACCTCCCTGCCCCCCCCCCCCCTTTTGTGTCCTTTTTTTTTTTTTTCAACCCACAGAGTCCAATCAGGGCTGCACATAACTACAAGGGTATGCAACCATCCAGTGAGGTAAGAGCAACCTACCTGTGGCCACATCCCCAGAGAAGAGGGACCCTCCCTCCACCTGCTGTTATCAATAGTTCCTCAGTTAGGGGTGGGCCTCATGAGCCCTCCCCCATCTAAGCATGTTCCCTAATTAGAGAGATTTGAATCTGGTGGGGTTGGGGGCTGAGAAACAAAGCGCTCTCAGGATCATGAATGAGGCGATGAATATGACTTCATCAAAGTTAAGTGGTCTGTTCTAATCTGGCTGGCAATAAAAAAAATTAAAAAATTAAAAAAACAGTACCTATAGGAGCAGGAGGGAAGCCATTTACAGTGTCCACACACTGAAACCAGGAGGGGAGGCCAGGCTTCAGGAAGAGAGATGTCTGAATGCTAGCCTGTTTTCCTCCTCCTTTCTCCTTCCTCCTCCTCCTCCTCCTCCTCTTCCTCCTCCTCTTTTTAGTTTTTCAAGACAAAATTTCTCTGTTTAACAGCAATGACTGTCTTGAAACCTGCTCTGTAGACCAGGCTGGCTTTGAACTTACAGAGATCCACCTGCCTCTGCCTCCAGCTTAGGCTGGTTTTTTTTCTTCCCTATATGAAAAAACAAACAAACAAACAAACAAACAAAAAACCCCACACAAGCCAACCTTTTAGTAAAGCCACTCAAGCTTGCTTTCCTCAAGGCCTGGGATGTGAGTGGGCCCCTCTACCCCCTCAGCCCCCGGAGCACTCAGCTACCCTTCCACACCACCCTGCCCACCCATCAGAGAGTTCCTTCAGTCTCTGCAGATCCCTGAACTCTGGGACTTTGAGCTTGTTCAGGATATATGTTCTTTCCCACATGACTAATTTCTCCCTCCCTCACTTTCTACTTAACATCTGTGAGGGGAATTCCTTCCCAGAGTGTCCTGGGCCTAGACACCACATGGCCTTGTGGGATCTCGTGGAATGGACTGCATATTCCAAGTGCCCTATAGATCATTTTGGAATTGATGACTGATCCTGAATGAAGAGACTGGTTGTGTTTTTATTTTTCAAATCTTCTGGGATTAAGCTTGATGAAGGACAAGAAAACCCTGACAATCCCCAGGGCAGGGCGAGGGTGGGAGCTGTGGCTACTGGTCAAAGATTAATCAAAATAATATGACACATTTAATCCCAGCACTCAGGGGATAGAGGCAGAGGGATCTCTGTGAGTTTGAGGCCAGCCTGGTCTCCAGAGCGAGCTCCAGGACAGCTGGGGCTACACAAAGAAACCCTGTCTTGAAGAACAAAAACAAACAAAAATGATGACCTGCAGGACAATAAACATATCCTCACAACTTAGCACCATGCAAACATTTCTTTTGAAATAGGGAACTTATAAATCAAAGTAAATCTATTATTCTAATTCGGTTTGTATGGTAGGTGTTCTGGGTACAGATTCCAGGTCTAGCATTTATGAACAGCCTTTACAATGTCATTCAACTGCTCTGAGTCACAATTTGAACCTTTATGAAAGGTGAGTCTACCTAGGACTTTGTTACAACTTCCTGGAAAGTTAACTCAAAGTTTGGGTTAAAGTGAGCCCTGAACCTGCTGGGACTTTGGGTCAGTAACAGGTTCTGCCCCGGGGCCCAGATATCTGTGCCCACCAATGTATAGAGTCACCATTCCAATTGCTACTATTGACACTGGTCAAGACAAAAATCAACAGGCTCAGCACAGGCATTCCGTGTGCATCATGTGGAAATAAAAGACTAAACAGTATCAACAAAACAGACCCTCCCACCTTTCCATGCAAGACATTTTGTAATCATCTAGCATACTGCACTGTTACACTGAGGTTAGGACATGGCTTATGTTAAATGATGCTACTGATCCAAATGCTCTTTATATAAAACAAAATCGGCTAGCAGCAGCGGCTTACCAACAGATTCAAGTGTTTATAAGTTAGAAGAGGTAATGGATCATACTATTAGTTTCATATTTGTATGTTTATTTATGTGGGTTTTGTTTTGTTTTGTTTTGAGACAGGGTATCTTTGTGTAGCTTTGGAGCCTTTCCTGGAACACATTCTGTAGACCAGGCTAGCATCGAACTCACAGAGATCCACCTTTCTCTGCCTCATAAGTGCTGGG